TGTACGTATGTGGGTGCGTGTGTCTACAGGAATCCCAGAAATAAAACTCTCTAATCTTCCGGGCTCGGTGATTTAGCAGCAAGAAAAATAAAATGGCGATCCAATTCCAAGAGGGACCGTGCTTGGTCACCTGCCCGGGAATGCTTCTGCCGGGGTCGCGCCCTCCGGACCCAAAGTGCTCTGCGCAGAGTCTCCTCTTCCTTCATTTCAGGTTTCTGGATTAAGGATTGTTCTGGTGATGGCGATGGTTGGTGTGGTGGTGGTGGCGGCGGTGTGGTTTCTGTAGCGTTCTGAATCAGGCTTTCCTGGTGAGAGGTCTGGTTCCCGAAACCCTGAGGGAGGCTCCTTCTTCCAGCCCGGCTCACCGCCTGGGCTTGTCACATCTGCGGCAGATGGGAAACAGAGGCCGGGGGTTAGGGCCGGGCGCGGGGACGTGGTAGCGAGGCAGGCAGCCTTCCCTTCCCGGGAGCCCCGAGTCCCTGCGGCAGAGAGGATGGCGAAAGCACGGCGCTGCCTCGAGGAGCCCAGCGTGAGGGGAGAGCCAGCCCCTGCCCACCGCCCCCCCCCCCGCCCCCGCCAGAGCAGGAGCTGAGTCCAGGGCTCCCCTCTGCCCTCTAGAGCTTACAATCTAGTTGAGACAAGACAAGGACATGGGGACATGCCATCAGAGGCGACAAATGAACACATACTCAAGAACAGTCCCTACTTGGCATTTAAGAGCTGATGGTGACCAGAGGTGGACCGAGTTAGTCAGCAAAGAGTGCCCGCAGCGAGAGGGGCTTCAGCTCTGCCTCTATGGGGCTGGCTTGCGGAAGACAGTGGGGAGAGCACCCTGACCCAGGGCTAGGGCCAGCTGAAAGGGAGGGGCTGCTCCGGCGAGGCCGTGAGGGACACATCTCCCTTCACCATGCCCTCCCTCCAGGCCTCGTTTCTTCAGCATGCTGGCCGCAGTGGGCCCCCGGCACCAGGCTGCTGGGTGGGGAGAGGTGATCGTTCGCTGCGCAGCTCCTGTCCAAGCAGAGGGGACACCAAGAGCTTTCGTGTCATGCCCCTGCCCCTGGGACTTACTGCCTTTTCCCTTCTCTCCTATGAGAGGTCAGAGCAGGCCCCGCCCTTCTGAGAGCCTGCCAATGGGCATCCTAAGCCCCCAGTTTGGGGGGGGTCCTGAAACTCCCCCATGGAGGGGGAGGTCTCTGGAGGCTGGGGTAACTTCTGTTAGCCCCCAGATGACTTCACACACCCCATCCCAGACAGTCTCTCTGCAGAATAATCCCCACAGAAATCGTGAAAATGATAAAGCCCTCACCTTCCCTGAAGCCCCCGGGGCATGTGGAGACCCCTCACTGGGCCCTGGAGTTAGGCAGAGCCCCAAGCCCGCACTCACATACGCTTCCTATCCTCACATACCACTGAGACAGAGAGAAGCCTGCACCAACACCCCAGGGCCTGGTCCCCGGCATCCCTCGGACAGCCACAGCCACAAGAACACGGGGGTGGGGAAGGCAGCCACATTCCAAGGACTTTGTTAATGGAGCATCTGGACTAGCTGTGGGTACCCTGACCCTGCCAGGGAATCCTGGCATATAAGCCCCCCTCCCTGGGTGAAACTCAGGCTGGCCCAGAGGGCTCCCGGCCTTTGAGCAAAGGCCAGACTTGTATAAACACCACCGAAGGCATCGAAAGATTGCCAGCCAACCTGTCACGGCTCTGTGCTCCTGACCTTACCCCCTGAACTCAGTCATGTATTCGCTTACATACTTGACACTTTCTAGGTCCCCACTGTGGTCAGAGGACAGAGGTACAGATGCCTGGAGGGTCACCCAGGTGAATAAAAGCCAGGCCCTCCTGTGAGGAGTTCCCGACCCCCCCATCCTGGAGGCATTTGGAAATATGTGGGCTGTTTGGGGTTGTCACCATGAGTAACTGGAGTATTAAAGGTATCCAGTGTCCCCCAAACGTTAAATCTCCAACCTACCCCAAACCAACAGCAGGAGCCCGTGCCCTTGGGGACACCAGTCTCGGAGGGACTCGCCCCCTGCCCCCGTGAGGGACACTGAAGGGATGAGAAGCCCAGCGGTGCAGACTTCACAGGGTGGTGGCAAGGCCCCCAAGAGCATTTGAGCTTTGGAGACGGCAGCACCCCCCACACCAAGAAGGGCCCTCTGTATTAGTAGCAATAGTAGTAATAACAACATCAGGACCAACAGCCACCACAGGACACCGCGGGACCACAGGACACGACACTCAGCCTGCGTCCACACCGTCACCTGAAGCCACACCAGGCTACCCCCCCAGGCAACCAGGGCAACCTCGGAACAGGCCCCAGCAGGTCAGGCCAGCGCCTGCGTCCCACCGCAGGGGCCCCGCAAGCAGAGAAGGCGGCGGTCAGTCACCAGGCAGGCAGCTAGAAGCCGAGCAAGCAGCTGGCCCCTCTCGGGTGCACGTGCGCGCAAGCTCTCTCTCTCTCTCTCTCTCTCTCTCTCTCTCTCTCCCCATCTCTGTGTGAAGCCCCTCTCTGACTCGCTCGCCCTCTGGGAACCAACCTGCAAGTACGTTCGTTTAACTCAAGCTGCCTCGCCTTGCAACGCGAGTCTGTGTTTTTGCAGGAACATTTACACGTCTGCGGATCTTGTACAAACAAATGCTTTCTCCGCTCTGAGCAAGGCCCACAGGGACTGCAAAAAGGCAAAAGGAAAGACATCTAAGCTAGAGCGTCAGCAGAGAAAGAGAAAAAAAAAAAAAACCATGCAACACCCCCTAACAGTCCGCAGCTGCACCCCCACCCAGCTCATCGGCCCCCCTGCCCCTTCCAAGCCCTGGAAGGATCCGAGTGCTGCAGCGGAAGACAGACAGAGCGGCGGAAAGAGGCAGCACTGGCTAGGAAGCCTGCCTGCAGGAAGAGGCAGACACAGGTGGGCAGAGAGTGCAAGGAGAGGACACTGTAAGGGGGGAGTGGTGTCCCATAGGGACAAATTCAAGTCTTGGGCCACAGGGCCCCAATGGCTACCGCCCCCGAAAGAGCACACCTTGACTCTTCACCTGCTGGGGACAACAATCCGGGCCACTGCTCAGGCCCGGGCCCCTCCACCAAAGGCGGGCTGAAGGAGGGCACCACGGCAGGCCAAGCCCAGAGGCAGCGTCCACAGCCAGGCCACTGGTGTCCAAAGTGCCCACCACAGCCTCCAACCCAGAGGAAGAGCCTCCAAACCTACAGGGAGGTTTCTGTGGGTGCCGTGCGTCGGACTAGAGTAGAGGGCTCCCCTCCGGAGGCCCCAGGTCCACGAGGAGGGGCTGCCATACGGTGCCTGACCCCACCCAGCCTCCTCCTGCAGCTGACAACAGGCTGCCTCGCGTCACTTGCACCCCTTCCTCACGCCACGTCTGCCCGCCCCACCACCCTCAGCTTCCAGACAAGTGCAGAAGCCCAGAGCAGTGGAAACCAGTCGGGTGAGCAGGCACCGGTGCCTGGCACCCGCGCCAGATGGGCCCGCCACCAGTGCCCAGTGGGTGAGAGAAAGGCGGTGCCCAGCCAAGCCGGAGTCCCCTCCCTGAATCCTCCAGGCCCACTCTGCCCACCCGGCCAGCCCGAGCCTGGACCGGCCACGCCACCACCGCATCTAGCCGCTGGTGCCAATTAGTGGAGTGAGAGTGAGAGAGAGACACTGGGGGGGAGAGGGGGAGGAGAGCCGGGGGGGGGGGGCCGGGGGGGGCAGTGTTAGGGGGTCCCGCCGGCGGGGGTCTGACTGGGGGCCGGGGAGGCTCCAGGCAATGAGACAGCGGAGGCACCACGTACACGCTCCAGGGTTTATACCGGGCTTTCTTGCGCTTTCTTTTTTGCCCCTTTCCCTTTCCTCGAATTGATTTTCTGGAAAATAAAAAAACAGAGACAGACAAAGAGAGAGCAAGGGGGAAGGGGAAAGGAAAAGAAGCAACGAGGAGGGCAAGGTTCAGGACAAACTCCCTGGAACGAGCATCAGGAGGCCAGCGGGCTCCGGGAAAGGGCCTGCCCGTGCACACGCACACGCACACGCACACGCACACGCACAGCAAGGCTGGGGCAACAGGAGCTCAATGGCTCCTCCTTCTCCCTTCGGCCACCCTGGGGTGGCCAACCTGGCCTCCGGCAATGCTCTGCGTGGGGAGCAGAGGCTGGGTGCAGGACACAGGACCTAAAGGCCTGAGTGCTCGTGGCAGCTCCTGGTCCCAGGCAGGGGGCAAAGCCCTGTGGGCAGCAACCCTGGACAAGTCTGACCCTGAAGGTCAGGGGAGGGGGGCTATAAAAGGCAGGCCACAGTTTGGAGAGACCTGACTTGATGGGGGTGGGGGTCGGGGCCCAGGCTGTGCTTTGGGCACCTTCCGCCTTCATTTCCAAGTGCAAGGGCAAAGGGGTCCTCAGGGGCCCTGCCTCTGCAGATCCCGGTGTGGGAGAGCAGCTACACTGGGAGCTGGCACAGACCCAGGGGCGGCACATGAAAGGCGCCAGCCTGCCCAGCCATAACCTGGGCCGAGAGGCGGGGACGGGTGTCCTCAGAGCCCCAGGCAGGCGGTAGGGTGGGGTGGGAGTTAGGGAGGCATGGGAGGAGGGGCCTGGGCGTTACTTGGCAGGAGGTTCTCTCCCCAGCCTGTCAAAGCCTGCTACACCATCTCACCAGACTCTCTTCCGAGCCCAGGCGAGCCCCCCGCTCTCCCTGTGGGCAATGCAGACATTTGGGAAACGGGCAAGGGGGGGCGGGCTGCAGCCTGTTCCCCTCAAGGGAACCAGCACTCTCCACACCTGCCAGGCCAGAGGATGCCCAGAACGCCCGCCACAGGGGAAGAAATGAGGGCAAGGGACCGAGGAGGGGGCAAGACTGCTCCCCTAGGAGAAAGCGCTGGCAAGGAGGAAGGTCTACACACAAACACGCGCGCGCGCTCTCTCTCTCTGAGACTACTCTCCCAAATCACTGCTCTGGGAGCCACAGCCGTCCTGGAAGCTGGGGACTCAGGGAAGAGGCAAGGAGTTGAGGTCTCGGAGCTTCTGGGCCCCCAGAGCTTTGGGGGCAGACGGGACGGCGAGGGAGGGGAGGGGAGGGAGGGACACAGGTGCTCTCTCTCATTCTCTTTCCCTGCAGGCTTGTCCCCTTTGCTCACCGGGTCTTGAAGGCTCACTGCCCCCAGACGATGCCCCCTGCTCCATCCTGACCCAACACTCCACACGGAGCAACTAGAAGCCTCAGAAAATGACCAACAGTCAACTCATTTCTCCCTGGCCAGGGAGGGCTGAGTGGCTCAGGCCCGCCTCACTCCTACAGGAGGGCATCACCAAGAAAATCTCTCAGCCGGCCCCCAAGTCCAATGGCACCATCACAGCAACCGTGGTGAGAGACCGTTTCCTCTGACACACAAAAGCTGGCCTCTCTGCCACCCCCTCCCTCTCCCTGCTCTGGGGGGACAGGAGACTAGAGCAGGCCAGGGAGCTGCTGTCCACACGCACCCCACACACCAAAACTGCAAGTCCCGGCCAGGAATGACCTGGAGACCTGGAACGTGTGGTCTCCTTCCACAGAAGCTCCAGGCTCCAGGCTGGGGTTTTGCCCCTAATCCTAGAGCCAGAATCCTCGGGTTTGCTCCAACCCCCTACTGCCACCACAAGTCTTCGTGAGGCCAACTCCCGGACTCGGTGAGGCCATGAGACCCCCCCTGACAGAGGAAGCCAAGAGCCCCAAACCAAGATAACCGGCCAAGGAGAGGGAGAGGAGCTAAAGTCATGGCCACTTACTTTTCTTGCCTTGCTCTATCTTTCTTTGGTCTGCAGCGGGCAAAGGAAGAGAAAAGAACAAAACAGAGAGGGGTTCAGTTGGTGATGCTAACAACAAAAGCAGTAACGTACTATTTATGACATATCAATGCAGTTTTAATCCCTTTACGTAAAAGAACTCACTTAAACCTTCTAACAATGCCATGAGAGACATCCTATTATTGTGCCCATTTGACAGACATAGAAACTGAGGCACAGAGAAGTAAAATGAAAATGCCCAAGGTGCCACACCTGCAAGGCAGAAACGGCTAACAAGTGAAACATGCTTAACCCTCCCACCATCTGCTGAACAAACGAATCCGAATGCGTGACTGCGTCCTCACCTGCATTCACATTTGCTGTGCTGTAGGAAGCTCATCTCCCCTATGTGCTGGCCTTGATGAGGTTTGATCCGCATAATCTAGAGGGAAAGGAAGCAGATCACAGAAGTTAGTGACCCAGCCAGCCATACCCAGATGGGACATCCCGTGGCTCTTGCCACTCAGCACCCAGGGGTTCTACAGAGCAGGGGTGGGGGGTAGAGGGAGGAGGGACCAGGGGCTCTACCAGAAAGAGCCTCAGGCCCACCCCAACTCCCCCGACCCTACTGACCTCAAGGAGCCCCTGGCTCTTCTTGAGGGCAGGCGTGGCTGCACGGGTTGGCCAGGCTGGGAATTCAGGTCCTGGGTTCTTGCCTGTGCCCGTCCCTCCCCTCCTGTTATCCCCTCTAGGCCTCACCTTGACCCCTAGTCGCTACCCAACAGCCACCTTCCCTGGGGTCTCAGAGCTCCCTCCCACCCTGTCCAGGCTGAGATGTGCCCTGTCACCAGGCAGCACCAAACGACTACCTTCTAACACTCTCCATGCACCAGGCTCGTCCAGCACCCCGAACAGAGCCCCCCAGGAGGAAGGGCCCTCTTCCTCCAAGAGAGGAAGAGGGGGCTCCTGTCACAGGTGTCAGCCCCTCCTGAGCCCAGGGGCAAAGGTCAGGGAGGAGGAGGAGGCAGTAGGGACTTGCGGGGAATCCCAGACCAGGAAATGCAGGGTATCTTTTTCTCCAAAGGGGGTAAGACTCCCCACACTGCCTCCTGACTGACTCAGGGGCAGGAGCTGAGCAAGGGAAGTCTGGCTTTTCCTCTCAAGAGTTGCCCAGGAAAGGGCGGGGGAGCACCTGTTCCCAAAGTCTAATCCCGCTCCCGCCCCCCCCACCCCCCACTCCCCGCAGATGCCCACCTGCATGGTGATGTTGAACTCCTCGGTGGGCACGCACTCCAGGCCCTCGTCATTACAACAGCCCCCACACCGCATCAGGGGCACGCAGGATGGCTTGAAGATGTACTCAATCTCGTCAGGATACTCCTGGAAGATGTCCACCAGGGTCTCAATGGGACGGCAGTAGCTGCGCTGGTACACGTCCATGAACTTCACCACTGCATGGGATGGAGTGACACATGAGCCCAGCCGGTCACACAAGAGATGGCCGGCCCCCGTCTCCACCGAGCTTTATAGGGCAACCCCTCAGGGTTCCTGGGAGAGGTACCCCCTACTGGGCCAATCCTTCCCAAACTCTAGCTTAAGTCCCTCCAGCTGTGGTTGACATCCTTCCCTAAGCTTTCCACCATGGGCACTGATGGAAGGTCTGGTTTTATTCCAAAGATCACACGAGGCTGTTGGGTTCTGAGGGAGATGGTCTGCTACATCTGACCCCACCACCTCGCCATGACCGCTGAGCCAACTCCTGGGTCAACCTTGATACCAGGGCACAGTTTGAGGATGAGTATACTTGTCGGCGGGGGGATCTAAGTTTCCCATGAAAGGAGGAAGAGCCAGCTTGGCAAACCTACTCCGCATTTCCCTACAATCTCTGTCACACCATCCACCATACCAACAACCATTGGATGAGGACTTATTATATGCTGGGCATTGTGCACCATCGTCCATGGTTTCCATGGCCAATAATTCTCCCCACATGACACTATGAGGTTCCACTAGGAACCCCATTTTACAAAGCGGGAACTGGAGGTTCAGCGAGGCTGAGGAACTTGCCCCGGGCCCACACTTCCAATCAGCTCTGACATCAAAGCCTTCCCAAGGCAAATCATGTAGGAGCATGTGGTGGGGAGGGGGGCACTTTGCCACCTGCCAGACCCCTCCCCAGACACGGGCTGGGGAGGTGGTGAACATCAGCACAGGGGCCAGGCCTGCCTAGAATCAGCAGGTGGCAGTGGGTGGGCACGCTATGCAGGCCCTGCCAGCCACCGATAACCCCGCCCAAGAGGGCAAACTGCTTGCATCATGGAAAAAACGGTGCCGCCACCGCAGCCACAGAGCATTTCTAGAAGCTGATCTGGAGGGAGAGCAGGGTAAAGACAGCTTCCCAGGCTGGCCGTGGAGCTCAAGGTGCACTGGAGCATGAAGGGGTAATTCTAGGCCACAGGGGCGGGGCCCTTGAGAACAGACACACTCAGGACCTGGAATGATGACTCCAAATTGTGGCCCAGCCTGCCACTCTCCATCTCACACACACACACCTCACTCCCACAAAGTAATGCTCTCCCTGCAATGTCCCTCGCCCTCACAGGAGGAAAAAGTGGCATCCAGCCCGTGAAGAGGTCCGGGTTCTGTCCATGACTTGGTGCGACCTTGGGCCAGTCCCTCCCCTCTCTGGGCCTCAGATTGCACATCTGTATAAGTGGTTGGGCGGATTTCTAAAGACACTGAAACTGAGACTGAAATGTGGGGTTTTTGTCTCCCGTTTCCAGCCCCCAAACAAGCGCTCTTTCTCAGCCCAGGTAACACAAGGTTTGGAACCTCACCCAGGCATCTGAAGTGCAACCCCCTAGCCTGCCTCTCCCCAGAGACTGTGGCTGAGCCTCCTCTTCCCTCCAGAGGGTAAAGGAAGATGAGCCTGGGGGTATCTATACACTAAGTAGGTTGAGGAGGATTTGGGGAGCTGACAGGAAGGGAGGGGAAGGCCATAGGTGTGAAAACAGCAAGGGAGCAGTGGGGGCTCCCAACCAGTCCCTGGCCTTGTCTGAGATCTACTTCCCCTATGCAGACAACAGGCATAGAATTCTCCTCCACCCTCAAAAGGGTTAAGGTAAAGCACTGTCAAAGAGTACAGATGAGAGCAGAGAGCTGAAGAAGCCCTTTTCTAAGTCAAGTCTATCTCGAAGAAGATGACTAGTCAAGAATTCTTGACCTGACACTTTGTCATGGTTGGGGACAGAGGGGGCCCAGGCTTTGGGGCCACAAGGCCCCAACCAGGACAGGAAAGCAGGAAGGTCTGGTCTGGGCCATTGGCAGTTGGTAGCTGAGCGTACAAAGACCCAGACTAGGAATTCCTTGGAAAAGCTCCCTGGAATCCCCAAGGGCCGCAGGAGGGAGGTCGAGGGGGGCAACTTCACCCATACCCCTCATATTCTAGCCACTGCCCCCAAGGAAAGCTGGCCTGCTTTTGCCCAGGCCACAGACATACACCGACTCCCACAACAAGCTTTCTTGCTTTTCCTTATTTCTTGAAGACAACCTTGTCCCCAGCAAACAAAGACCATTTGTCTTGCCTCTCCCAGACCACAGAGACCACCGGGAGGCTGATGGGGGTGGGGTGCACAATGGGACCCAGGAGCCTCTGAGCGGCATAGGCTGTGGGGTGGCTGGGAAGCCAGGCCCTGGGCCAAGGAAAGAGCTCCTGAGTGAAGAGGGAGGCAGAACCGGCTGGGCATCACCACTGGCCCAGCGAGTGCAAACACCACCCCTGGCCACCACCCTGGGCCACAGGGGGCTGAGGTCTGGAACACTCGCCTGGAGGAAGACCCCAGGGCCTTCCTTACTCAGAGGTGGGGCACTGGGGGAATGGCATCCGGCACTCCTCCCCAAGGCTGGAGTAGAGGCCACATTGTGGGGGCGGGGGGGGGGGGCGGGCCGGGCCCCCCCCCAGAAAGGGGGGGGGCGGGCCCCAATGGGGGGGGGGGGGGGGGGGGGCAGGCAGGGCTCCCCCAGAGAAATGGGAGGATCCCTACTCCAAACCACAGAGGAACAAAAGGCAGGCTGACTCTGAATTGGGCAGGGGGCGGGGCACCTGGGAGCTACAGCCAGCCCTCTGCTGGCCCAGGAGGGAAGTTCACAGCACCCAAACCTATCCCACCCGGAGGGCAGAGGGAGACTGCTGGGCCCTTCTCTCCACCCCCAAAGGAATACAGGCTGTGGGGAGGGGGTCTCAGGAGCTTGGGCCCTCTGCACCTCCAGCTCACACACAGCCAGTTTGCTGGACAGCCAGGGGCACAGCCCCCTCCACACAGAGCCTACGGGGGTGACACGGCTGGGCTGGATGTGACACAGACTATCCATCCTCCCCTGGGGGCAGGTGGGACAAGGGACACCTCCCTCGACAACTGGGATCTTTGAACACTGTCTTTCCTGGCCTGTACTCATGGCTCCCTCTCCAAATAAAATTTTACTGGAAAAAGCAACAAGTTCTATTTCTAGCAGAGGCCTGAGTAGGAAAGAGAGACCTCCAGAATGATGACTCTCACGGTGCTCCCCTCTTCCCTTCTTGATTCCCCACTCCTGCACCCCTTCCCCGCTCCCCCACCGCCCCAGCCTGAAAGAAAGGAATCGGAGCCTCCCTACCCGTCCCCTGGGGAGACAGGATACCCATCCAAGGGCCAGAGGGACTCACCTTCGTGGGGTTTGTGCTCTCCTTCTGCCATGGGTGCAGCCTGGGACCACTGAGGGCAAAACAAAGAGCAAGGCATAGGCATGAGCAGGGATGCAGAGGCCCAGCCACCCGCCCAGCCGGCAGCCTCTGGCTTCTCCGAGGCTTCTGAGTGGAACAAGGCACCTGCCCGGCTCTGCATAGCAGAGAGCATGCCCACAGCCCCTGTGCTGCTCCAATTGTGAAGGAAGAGAAAGAATGACCAGATATTGCGGGGGGGCGGGGGGTGGAAAACGGAAAACACAGGAGGAAAATACCAGAACACTGTGCTGTCTGGGTCCCCGCCCCTTCCCCACATTTCCCTCCCCACCCCTCACTGGCCCATTGCTGAGTTCAGGGAATTTTCTCAGCCCCCCAACTCCCTGGTCCAAAGCCACGGGTAAGTAGTAAGGTCAAACAGGAGGACAAATTTGGACGGGGGCAGGAAGGAAGGACTGGGGGCGAGAAAAACAACATGGTGACCTTCTCCTGCTGACATGACAAATACCAGGGTGAGCTGGTGGTGGGGAAGGAGAGTGCAGAGGAACGAAGGGCGCCAACCACCCTCCCCCTTCCAAACTCCTCTGTTCCTGGGAATACTCAGCAAACCCACAGGTTGCCTAGAAGGGAAAACCAAGGAGGAAACCCTGGGGGGAGGGGAGAGCCCCATTTCTCCCAGCACACAGACCCTCCAGAAGCCTGAACATATCTCCAAAGCTCAGAGCCTCACACTCGCACCTTGTTCGCTAGTTTCTTCTCCTTCCCGGCCTGAGGGGGGTCCCAAGTCCCTCTCACCCAGCTGGGCACCGTTTCCTCAAATGCAACCAGGAAAAGCCTTTATGCCTTAGCACTGCCCAGCCCCTAGGGGGCCCCCTGCACTACCCAGGCCTGAGGCCTCCCCTAGGCCTCGCCATCCCTCCCCACCCCCACCAGATCATTCCTCCCCTCCCCAGAAGCTGTGAAGGTCAACATGCCCAACCATGTGGACCTGACAGCTCCGAGCAGGCAAAGGCTTCTCCCAGCCTTCGGTTCTCACCAGCTGCCCACCCCACCTGCCCTTCCTTGCGGGCACATCCTAAGCAGCAGAGCTGTGGAACTGCAGACCCCACTGACAAAGTCTGTCTGTCTCCTTCCCACACACCCCCAATGCACCCCGGATTCCCGAGCCTTGCCCCTAGGGCCAAGGTCAGATAACAGCTTCCAGGATCCCAGCTGGGCAGCCTCCCACAGCAGCAACCTCAGGGACCCTCCAGGGTCTCCACCTTAGCCCCTGGCCCATCTCCATGATACCCCCGGGAGTTCCTTCTGCCAACGTTCTCCCTATGCCCTCCACTTCACCTGGGCCCCAACAAGGAAGGGGGGACAGAAATTTAACCCCCTCCAAGGCCAGGGGGCACTTGGGAGGGGCTGTTCTGGGCAGGGAGGGGCCAGGTGCCCTTCTCTGGGGGCCTCTGAAGGTCATGCTGTGGCCAGGCGGCCACTCCTCCCCCTCCCCCCCCTTGGAGGCCTGGAGCCAAGGCCTTTGTGCCAGGGTCTAAGGCACCCGGCGTGGCAGCAGGGACCCCAGCCCATTTTTTTCCTTCTGCCTCTCTCCAAGGGGAGACTCTGCGGCTGAGGGAAGGTGTAAGGGAAGAGTGTAAAGGGTCCCTTAGATGGCTTTGAGAAGCAAGTTGGGTGGGCAAGTTTTAGAGTTCCAAAAAACCACCTGCTCCTGCTCCAACACCCCTTTTCACCAGGACAAAGTGTGTTTGCAAGGCTGGCAGGAGCTCCCTCCAAAGGTGGGGGTGGGGGGAGCTGGTCCCACAATGCAGACGTCACAGCAAATTTTAAGCCATTTTTCCAAAAAGTATAAAGTGGAGTAATGACTCTTTTCATTCCTCCCTTAGCCCACCCCCATAAAAACTAAAGCACAGCTCGGAAGTGTGGGGGAGGGGAGCAAAGCAGACTGTCACCAAGTGGGGACTTTAGGTAGTCTGACAAAGCACCAGAGTGTGCCCCTGCACCCTGACCTCTGACAGCGATCATCCTTTCCCTGGCCTCTGGGGTCGGAGAGGGGTTACACGGGTCTTCTCAGCAGAGGGGAGTAAAAAATAGAAAGGTGGCAGGGGCTTCTCTCCACGTCAGGGAGAAATGGGGAAGGGGCGTCAAGAAATCCCTCCTAGCACAGGAAGGGGCTAGGGGCTGGGGACAGTGGGGAGAGGCGTGGGGTGGTTCTCCGGGTCCTCCGGGTAGGGATACCTCGAGAGGTCACCTTCCCGCGGAGGGCCGGCGGGGGGAGGGGCGCCGCTCGCCGCCCGGGGCTCCCCGCTCGGGGCCGCCGAGGCTCCGGGAACACGCGGCCGGCCAGGCCCGGGCTGATGTAATCGGCTCCGCGCCGCGCGCGCCCGGCCGGGCGGGGGAGGGCGGGCACCGAGCGGGACGCGAGCGGGGACGGGCGGGGGTGCCTCCGCGCAGGTGGCCCGGCGGAGACCCGGGGTCCCCTCGGCAATCCACCCCGAAACTTTTCTCAAACTCGTGGCGAGGGCCTAAGAGATCGAGCGGCAGTGACAGCAAGCCCCCTCTCTCTCGCCCGCGCCCTGCCCCCTCCACGCTCTCTGCCCTCCCTCGGTCCAAGGTCCGGGCACCCCCCCTGCCCACTGGGCTCCGGCTCCCGCCCCCGCTACCCGGACTTCCAGTTCGTCTGGGACCAGCGGCCAGGAGCAAACTTCAGCCGCCCGCGGCAGCGCAAACCCAACCCCCTCGGCCTCCTCCTCCGGCTCCCGCCCTCCGCTGGTCGGCCCAGATCGTACGTGCGGTGACTCTGGTGGGTGGGCAGGGCCCGCGTGGGCGGTGAGATTCTATCCGGGTGCCCTCCCACCTAGCGCGCGCCCCCTCCCCCTACATGTACAAGGATTGAGGGGGAAGCCGCGCGCCCGGTGCCCAAGGACCCGCGTGGGGTACGGAGCCCCCACGCGCGCGCTCGCACGCACGTCCCCAGCCGGGAGAGGCGCTCGCAGAGGCCCGCGACGCCTGGTGGGCACGGCCGCTTACCTTGGCATGGTGGAGGTAGAGCAGCAAGGCAAGGCTCCAATGCACCCAAGAGAGCAGAAAGTTCATGGTTTCGGAGGCCCGGCCGGAGCCGGCGCGGCTCGCGCTCCCTCTCCGGCTCGGGCTGCGGGGCGGCCCGCTCTCTTCGGCGCCTAGGCGGTCTCCTCTTCCTCCCCGAGCGGAGGCCCGGGCCAGGGCCTGGGGCGCGCGCGCGGCTGGAGCACTGTCTGCGCACACAGCCGCCTCACCCGTCCATGAGCCCGGCTTCCGAGCGCCGAGTCGCCACCGCGGCCCCCTCTCCTCTTCCTTCTCTTCTTCCTCCTCCCCCTCTTCGGACTGCGGCTCCTCCCGGCCCGAGCTAGCACTTCTCCCGGTTCCGCTCGGCTCGGCTGCCCCGGCGCGGACCACGGCTCCTCCGGAGCGGGAACAACCCAGAAGTTGGACGAAAAGTTTCACTGCAACGCCGCGAGCCCCGACCCCCTCCACCCCGCCTCCAGGCGCGGGCTCCGGCTCTTGCCCGCGGCTCGCCGCCGCGTCCACCCTCGGCCGCCGGCCGGGGAGGAGGTGGGAGCTGGGGCGGGGGGCGGTGTCTGTCTGTCTGTCCGTCAGCGCTGCTGGTCCGATGCGGGATCCCGAGGGGGAGGGCTCGCGCCGCGCTCTGGCGGTCACCCCCAAAAGCAGGTCACTCACTTTGCCCCTGTCCCTGTCGTTGCTCGCTCGCCCGCGCGCGCTCTCTGACCCCGTCTCTCTCTCTTCCTCGACTTCTCTGGAGCTCTTGCTATACCTCTTTCTTCTCTCTACTGGTTTCCAAAATCCGAAGTGATTTGGGGAAGTAAAGGAGCAATCTCCCCAAACAGTCGGCCCGATTTAAGCGGGGAGTGGGAAGCAAAAAATAAATTAAAACGAGAAAGAATGTGGATTTTAAAATTGCTGAAGAAAAAAAGGAGGGTAAACCCTGGGTAAATGAATATCAAATTCCAGTGCGGAGCCCCCTGGCTGGTGACCCCGCCGGTTCGTCCGCCTCGCCGCTGCGCCTCCCGACCCAGCGCCGCTGCCGCCGGTTCCACTCGCCCCCTGCACCGCGGCCTCCTCGCAGCCCGGCTGCCCCAAGCCTCTGCGCTCCTTACCACTAGCGGCCGCTTAAAATAAGGTAGGCCCCGCCCTTTGGCACGCCCTGGGGGCGGAGACAGGCCCAGTGTCTGCGCCTCTCCGACTGCCCCGCACGCCCCTCGGGCCTTCCCCTGGGACGTGTAGCAAAGCCTGCCCCCCTCCCCAGTGAAGGGGGAGCTCGACCCCCACCTAGGTTCACAGCCTGAAAATTGCCCATCCGCCCCCCCCCCCCTTTGCCCAGACACACACACGCCCGCGCGGTATTGGGGGGAAGGGTACAGGAAAGTGAGGTTATGTGCGGTCAGGGCTCGAGAGCTATTCCTTCTTTACTGGGAATATTGGAGGGAGGGGGGTTGTCTGGGAGGGCAGGGAGTCGGACAGGGACGGGTGTGGGGAGGAGGACATACAGATCTATTGGAATCCTGGCGTGACCCCTGGCCTTCTCCCCACTCCAGCACTCTCAGCCCGCCCCCCCACACACTCACTCACACTGACACACGCGTCCTCACTCTCACGCAGACGCTGCTCTTCCAAGTTCACCCAGCTTCCCTGTGGTGGCCGAGCGCCCCCTAGTGACTACTGCCTGCACACCCCAGCTCTGGCTCAAGAGGGAATGGGCTTCAGGAAGAGGGTGGAGGGAGGCTCCTCCTGATCCCATTTCTGACCCCCCAAACAGTGGCGTGTTTGGGACTCGAATGGACCCACGTGCAGAGAGCCCAATGCTGGGCACAGGAGGCATGGCATATCCATGTGGACAGTGTGCCCATCTGGAGACTTCGTCGGGCCTGCTGACATCAGAGTGAGCTACAGCAACGGACTGGGGTGACTGGGGTCCTTTGGGAAGTGTCCAGGGAAGCTTCCTTGGGGAAAATTATTTGGCACCAGGTTTGTAGGGCTGAAAATGGGAAGCCGTGTGGTTCTTGGGTTAGTCAGTGGCCCAGAGGGAAGAGGACCTGTTGGAGCCCACGTATGCACTGTGGAGTCTGGCAGAGCCCAAAGGGAGAGGCAGCTGGGCAGACAGAAGCCCTTGTTCCTGCTCCCCCCCCCAGATGTTGCCAGGGAACTGAGGCCAGGGGGCTGGTGGGGGCGGATGGAGGCCAGGGCCTGAGTGATGATTCAAACCTACTCACCAACACTAAGGAACGTCTGTAGGCCAGCTGCCCGGAGCTCCCACCAGGCTGGGGGCCAAAGCTTCTATCAGCCCCAGCCCAGTCTCTCAGCTCATCTTCTGAACAGAATTGGGGTTTCTCCTCAGGAACCCCAGACCCCTAGGATCTCTTGCCTACTTCTGACTGGGAGCCTCTCTCCTCTTTCCCCCAGTCCCCCCACTCCACACCCGCTCCCTTCAAAGCCCCCTTTTCTCCAACTCCCTTGGTCTTCCCTAAGTGCTCCCTGAGCCCCCCCCCCCCCAGCCCACCCTTGCCTATAGGAACCAGCCTGGAAAAATTCCTGGTTGGGCTTTGACCCAGCAGCTCCCAGGTTTCCCCAGGGAACAAAGAGGGGGCTCTGATACCTGAGGGAAGAGAGGGACCAACCAGTCTCATTTTTCATCCAGATCCGGGCAGGGCCTGGCCCAGGGCTGAGGTAGCCTCTGTGAGTGTCTGGGCTGAGAGCGGGAATGCCGCAACTTCCCCCAAATTGACCCAAACGATCCAGGGAGGTTACTCAGCCAACCCCCTGCCTTGGCACATGGTACTGTGGTTTAGTGAGGGTGCTAGGTTACCTCTTTAGCAGCCCAGTTCCACGGGAGTACTGTCCTGAGGCCCCTATGAGCAGAGGGGCTGCCCACCCCCACCCCATCCTACCCTTTGCATCATTCATGCCTCCAGTCCTGCCTGCACCACCTGGCAAGCTCCCCAGCAGCAGGGAGAAGGGTTAGTAAATGTTTATTTGCTGGCTTAGGGGGGAGGGAGGGCCCTCCCTCCCAGGCAAGCCTCCTTACCTAGGCGCCATGCTCCAAGCTGCTGCATGGGATACGGAAGGGAAGCAATTAAAGTTCCTCCTTCCAACCTGGTCCACATCTAGCACCGCCAGAGCCCAAGATGTGGGTGCTTTGGCAGAGCCCCCCTCCCTCATCCCTGCCCTGGAGCAGGCAGAGTCAGGACCAAGGCTTCCAGCACCATGAGCCGACACTCATGCTGGCCCGCTCCACCGCATCCCTCCTCAACTCAGCCTTCCTTGGCCCTAAAGAGGTCAGAAGAGGAGGTCTTAGTAAAATACCCTGAAGTTGAGAGGAGAATGGAGGGAATCCAAGGAGGGGTGGCTGTCACTTGTCACAATAACCCCAGGGCTTTCCCCAACCTGAGCCAAATGTCCCCTTGGTGGTATTAAGTAAGGTGTGTCTCAGCTACCTATTCGAGGCTCCTTCTGTGCACTTGGCCCAGAGAACCAAGGGAATGAGGGAGCAGAATTGCATCCTGGCCTGAGGAGCTTTGGAGCACCCTTCTCTAGGGTGGGGAGGGGTCTCCCACCCTTACCCCTCATTTCAGAGACAAGTAGTGGTGACTCCAAGGAGGGTTGCCTCTGGATGCTATCCCCCAGTGTGGTGTCACCAGCTTTCCCAACAATACACTATCCTGATGTACAACACTCAGCCGCTGCCCACATTACCATCGAACTGAGAGCCCAACACACCTGGGTCTTCCAGAAAGAGGACAAAAAGCCCATGGAATCAGGAACACAAATCAAATGTCATAAGACCACATCGTGTCTCTCTAGCCCCCTCTCCTCCCACGGACTTAATCCCCACTGGCAAACTTGATTCCACCACCCTCCCTCCACAGGCTGCTGCAGGGCAGGGAGCATCCGGACAGACTGAACACCCAAAGAAGCCCAAGCGTACAGAAGGACCCGAGGTCACCTAGCAACAAGGAGGGTGGGGCATGGAGCAGAGAGCGGCCCAGACAGAGGTCATGCTGGGTCCCCTCCAAGGGCATCCTCAGCCCCATTCAGAGGCCTCAGGACTGGGGCCACCTCAGCTTATGGCTCTGAAGCAGTTCCGCAGGAGCCAAGGAGGAAGGGGAAGCTGTTCCAGGTGAGGGGGATGTGGGGAGAGGGTGGGGGTGGAGGTAGAGAAGAGTGTGAAAGGTAGCCAGGAGCCAGCCGTGGCCCCAGACAAAGGAAGTAGCGATCAGACCCAAGGCACCGTAATTGTACTTTGTCCTGACGTCCTGTCACTCTGGTGTTCAGGGAAGCTCTCGCCTGTGTGAGTGCGGGCGGTTAACCTCCAAACCCACGAATGAAGGGACAGAGCCCCTCTGAAGTGGGGAAGGAGGGTGAGGACAGAGTGGCTCATTCTTGCTGTTGTCCAAGCATTTCTCCAGGTGGTTTCGCCGTGATGGGAAGAAAGGTCCCCTCCCTCACGCCATCCCCTGACTCCCCGGGCACCTAGCCAGACACAGATCTGATCCACTGGAAAGGCAGGGACACAAACCTGTTGAATTGAAGGAGAGAGAATTGGGTTGGCTCCCCTCAATTTGCTGTCTCTGGCTGCGGGTCAATCTCTCCCTCTCTCTGTCTCTGTCTCTCCCCCCCCCACACACACACACGCACCCCCGGTCTCTCCCTCAAGGAAGAAGGGCCTCTTTTTCCTCGTGCCAGCTTCCTGTCCCCATCTGGATCTGGAGGTTTGACTTGGGGTAATGATAGGCATTGATGCTGATTGGTGATGAGACTGGAGCAGAGAAAGCCTGAGAGGCTAACTCCCCCAGAGAAGCCCGTCAGGAAAGGGGGAGGGAAAAGGGATGGCGAGCAAGCAGGAGAAGGGGCAGCCGGGCAGGGCAGGGTCACTGTCTGGGGGAGCCACCCCTAGTCCCTATCAGCCAAGTCTCTGCCTGTCCCTTACAGACCTCGGTTTAATCCCCGAATGCCAGGCTGTCTCCCTGGATTGCTTCTCCCTGACAGCCCCAGACATGCTCACTTCTTGACACCCCCAGTCTGTGCTACCCCTCAAAGTCTGACCCCCGCGTCCTGCCCATTGCTGCCCCTGCTCACACACCCCCACCCAGTCTTGGAGGGAGTCCCTCTCCTGGGAAGAGGGGTAGCACGAGGTGACAGCTAAGGTCCTAAAGCTGTATTCTCCCTTCAGACTTGGGCCTTGCCTGGGAACTGAGCCTCGTTCCAGCCGTGGATCTTTCCCGAGGTCTACCAGGCATCAGGCATGGTGCTGATGCTATAGGAGATACAGGGCAGTGGAGAGCACGGGGGCTTTGGATCCAAATGGACACAAGTGATACTCCTGTCTGCCACTCTTTAGCTGAGTGACCTTGGGCAAGTTACTCAACCTCTCTGACCCCCCAGTTCCCCTCATTTGTAAGACACAAGTGAAAATGCCTGCCTTGGAACATTGCTGCCCACAGACAGGTATGCATATAGCTCCACCGGAAGGTGAGGTGGGAAAGTGGCCCTAAAAGAGGCCCAAGGTTCCAGAGCCGTCAGACTGGCTGGGCTGAGCCTCAGGAAGGGTTTTCTGCAGGAGGTAGCATGAGACATTTATTCCATAAGCAAGTATTAAACTCAGCCCGTAAGCCCTGTGTTGGCTCGGCCTGGGGGCTGCAACAACATGGAAGGGGCTTTCTGTCCAGAGGAACCAAACAGTAAACTGAAAATAGGAACTCTGAAGGGGCCACATGATTGCTGTGGGTAGAGGAAGGCTTCCTGGAGGAGGTGGTGCTTGAGGATAGAGGGAAGAGCGGCATTTTGCCTGCAGCGTGGACAAGAATAAAGAATAGGCAGGGGAAGTGAGGTCT